GCTCGGTAGGAGCTAAAAATCTATTTTTCCATCCGTTACTAGAGTGTGATCTACTGAAGAGTCTCTCAAGTCATTACTTTAAACATTGAACTTCTTGAAAAAACGTTCGAAAGTGAAAATAAGCAAACCAATAAGTGAGAAAAAATCAGGATGATTTTGAAACGACAATTTTGAATACTTGGTTGTTAGCGTGATGGATAAGACTGAAGAAGACAAAAAATATTAAAGAGGATGAGAATGCGAACATTGAATGAAGTGATATCGGGAAAAATAAAATAAGAGTATAGAGGAAAGTCACCTGAGTAAAACAGAGGACAAACATAGAACTGATGAATATCAACAAACAACGCTCCATTGCACCAGACTTTTAAAAATTCTTTCGATGCGCGCATCATCAACTTAGTTTGCATCATATCTTCTTTTAGGTTCCCCAACAATATCAGCAATGCCATTAACTTTCGTTTCTAAACATATTTACCGATCAACTCCTCGTAAATAGGAGAAGCGGAGGTTTGTATACAATTTTGTTGATGTCTACATAGAAAACACATTAAGCCAAAAGAGAAATCTTTTCAGAGTTCTCTACAGATAATAAAAATACATTTTCATATCGTATACATTTATGAGTTGTGATACACTATACAAAAATACATCTTGAGTTTTGGAATTCACATAACAATTTCAACATACTACTCAATCAAAAAAATAAGGTGAATTTTGATTTTTTTCAGAAAATATTCATTTATTGATTAATTTCTATTTCTGTTTGAAGGTGATTGACAATGTTTCGTGATGAATTTCATGAGTTCGGACTTCCATTGTCTAGACAAGTTTTGAGTAGCCGAATCTCTGGAGCTGAACACCCTCCTTGTGGATTTTGGGTGTAGGCTTACTGTGGTGTTAGCGATGATCTCTCCTTCTCCGAAAAATATACTTGGTGGCCAGTCATCACCCGAAGATGATTGTGGATACTAACAATCGAAACGTCTTGAAGTAACTTGGTTTGGAATCTCTTAATTTTTCATTTTTTGATTAATTGTTCTATCTCTCTCTGTATCTGTAGAGAAGGGAGTGTAAGCCCACAATACTTAGGCCACGTGTGACCCATTGTACATCTTCCCGAGAAGTTGTTCTCCTAGGTCATCGCTCATCCTGTCCTTTCCAGGAAAGAGAACAGGTCACCAGGAGACATCTCCTTTATATCGCCAGGGGTAGGCCAAGACTCGCTGAACACTCTCTCATTGACGATAACTCCGGACCCTCGCATAAGATATGCCTGACAGTTTCATCTTCCTGTTCACACATCCGGCATAGAGGTGTGTCCACTAGCCCCATAATAAGGATGTGTTTCTTTAGTTAACAGTGGCCGACCTTCTGCAGAGGAGCAAGCCAGACATGTATTGATGTTACCGCCGTGACCTCAAAGATGGCGGAAGATATCTCCAGCTGGAGCGTACTGCAGGAAGAGAACCTGTCGCTACACAAGTACATCCTGGTAGAAACGAAAAATCTGATGAAGCCAATCTGGAAAGGTGGAAAACAGAAAAAGCTCATNCCTACGAGAGATTGAGAGCTTCATCGCCATCCACAAGCTCAGGTTAGCACCGGAAAAGAGTGAGGCCGTAATATTGAAGGGAAAGAGGAAGCGGAATGGCATAACCTTTCGGCTTGGACAAACCGAAATAATTCCCAAAAAAACCCTTAAGTACCTGGGGATAATTATCGACAGTGGCAGACTCTATGGACCTCACGTAGTAGCAGCGGCCAAAAAAGCTGAAGCTAGAGCGGCATGCCTAGCAAGACTGATGCCGAACATTAGGGGACTTGATAGCAGCAAGAGAGCGGTACTAGGAGGAGTGGTACAGTCCATCCTACTGTATGGAGCTCCGATTTGGTACCCAGCCATGAGGATGGAGAAGTACAGGCAAATTCTGACCAAGCCCCAAAGAAAGAGCCTAGTCCGGATCATATCTGCGTACAGAACAGTGTCTGCAGAAGCGGCACAGGTCGTAGCAGGCATGATCCCTATAGACCTTCTTTTGCCACTGTATTGTCGATGACACGCACTATGAAAATATATAAAAAAAGCACAAAATTAGATTTGACTAACAGCCCTTCCAGTTTGTGTTTGAAAGTTAGTTCTTTGCATGATCTACACATCTTTGTAAATAGTTAAATTTTTTAAATTGATTACTCACTTCCCTTCTTCGAAAGATTTCCACATTTTTTGTATAAAGACTAGCAAAAACGAGTCGAAGTTGTTTATTTAGACTTTCATAAAGCCTTCGATCAAATAGTTCATTATGTTCTTCTCAGCAAATTGACAAAATTGGGACGCTCTAACCAACTGCTTACTCTAATTGAAACATATCTAGTTAACAGAAAACCATTCATCCAATATGAATCTTTCAAATCTGCTTAGTACGTAGTTACGTCTGGGGTACCTCAAGATTTTAATCTTGGACCTCTTTTATTGTTAATTTTTATTAATGATTTGGCAACCTCTTTGAATATTTCTAGGCTGATTTTTGCAGACTACCTGAAACTATAATTATTATAAAATCGACGTTATTGACTGCCAACATGTACAACATGAATTAGATGTAATCAAACATTGGTGTAACGAAAATTGTCTACAACTGAACGTATCCAAATGTAAAATAATATCATTCACAACAAAAAAACTAACTTCAATGTAAGATTATTCAATCAAAAATACTACAATCAACCGCGTACACAAGATTAAAGATCAACGTTTACAACACATATAAGGAATATGACTGCTGATGCAAATAGGATGCTTGGATTCATTCATAGAAATGGCAAGATCTTCAAAAGTATTGCCACCTTAAAATTGCTATATTTTGCGTATGCCAGATCTAAGTTAGAGTATGGCTCTGTGTTATGGAATCCAGTTTACGANTTCATTGCAACAATTAATATAAAATAAATTAAAATCATGTGCTCACCCAAATTTGATAAAATACACTCAAAAACTAAAATGTAATGCAAAACGTAATGAAATGTAGAATACGAAAAAGAACTATGGATGTTAACGAAGTAGATGTTCAAAATAATCACCGCGAACGTCTTGGCAACATCCTAATCTCAAATAAAACTGTCCTCTAAATGCCACCATACACTGCAATGTTGCCCGACAATTTTATCCGTGGCGAGTAAAATTGTGCGTGCAAAATTTTAGTGTGTGGCGTAAGTACTGGCAATCTTATTCGGCAATTTGAATTACGGTCGCCACCATAATTCTACACGTACGTGCCAACAGGTTCGTGCAAGTCGACGTGTGTGTGGGCATAGCAATCTTAACCGTCATTCATCGACAGCAAAAACTCTTCAAAAAAAGGAAGCAAAGATTTTTAATAGAGTTTATTGAGTTTTATAGAAGTCACCCTTGTTTGCGGAATGTAAACTGCAAAGAATATAACAACAAGCGTACCAGTAATTGGTGACGAAAGTACAGCAGGTAGACCCTGATGCGACTGTTAAAAAGAAAATAGATTCCATAAGAGGATCAGTAAGAAAAGAAACGAAGAAAGTAATAGATATCAAAAAATCCGGCGTAGGAAGTGACGCAGTATATGAGCCACATTTGTGGTATTTTACATATTTCCAGTTTTTAGAGGACCAAGAAGTTCCGCGTCAGAGCCAATCCAATATTGAAAGTGATCAG